AGAATCAATCCCTCGAAAGGCGACTGGCGGAGGCCTTCAAACATTTCCCGCTAATGGAAAGAGTTGAAAGCATTTGCCACGTCAATTTGAAGCGCGCACCACGACGGGTGAGTAGAGAGGCAGAACGGAAGGCGTGTGCCAGGACTTTCACTCCCGACTTGGACCCAACTTCGAGCTGATTACACGGAGAGAAATGCGACAACATCTTTGGGCGGAGCACGATGCATAGAGTGTCAAATGATTATATTGCTGATGCATATATGTAGGCTGCAGTGGGGTAGCCCATAGGGGGTACAACCCAATTAGGGTTGGTACTTGTACTTCTTTCATTCCATAGTGCATCATTCCTCGCAACTATCTCAACATGGTATCGAGCAGGTTCCCTAGTGGGAACTGTTCCTAGGGCCCACCTACTATTCTTTCCTGCCCGGAGCGCGCTCTGCCCTAGCCCGAGTCGCGCTCGGCCTTTTTTTTTTTTTTTTTTTCTTTCCTCTGGCAACCCGATCCCGTCGCGCCGCCCTCGAAATTTAGGCGCGCCACCTACGCGGCCTCGTCGCGCCGCTCCAGCGCGGTAGCGAGCGTCACTAGTGCGCAGGTGGGTAATGAGGTCAGCGACTGTGGCAAAGGCATCAAGGTCCTGAGTCTGACCCCTGCTCGTGTCGCCTCCTGTCCCACGAGACCCTCTTGTGGCACCACCGCATGGGTCACCCCTCCCTGCCTCGTCTCCGGGGCATGGCCTCTCGCCTTCTTGTCTCTGGTCTTCCCCGGTCCCTCCCTCCCCTTCCTCCGGGGCCTGGCCCTCCCTGTGTCCCCTGTGTCGAGGGTCGCCTGCGGGCTACCCCTCACTCCTCCCCGTTTCCTCCGACGGAGGCCCCGATGCAGACGCTTCACATGGACGTGTGGGGCCCAGCCCGCGTCCGTGGACAGGGTCACGAGCGCTACTTCCTGCTGGTGGTTGACGACTACTCGCGTTACACCACAGTCTTCCCCTTGCGCAGCAAGGGTGAGGTCACTGAGGTGTTGATCGACTGGATCCGCGCAGCTCGTCTCCAGCTCAGGCGGAGCTTCGGCTCGGACTTTCCTGTTTTGCGTCTGCACTCGGACAGAGGCGGAGAGTTCTCCTCTGGCCTTCTGCGAGCCTACTGTCGTGCACGAGGCATCCGCCAGACATTCACGCTTCCGGACTCTCCACAGCAGAATGGGATTGCTGAGCGCCGCATCGGCATGGTCATGGACGTCGCCCGTACGTCCATGGTGCATGCGGCTGCCCCCATTTTCTGTGGCCGTTTGCGGTTCGGTACGCCGCGCATCAGATCAACCTTCAGCCCAGGGTCTCCAGACCGGAGACCTCCCCAGCTTTGCTGTGGACGGGGAAGGTTGGCGATGCGTCGGCGTTCCGTGTCTGGGGATCTCGGGCGTTTGTCCGCGACTTGTCTGTGGACAAGCTGTCCCGTCGTGCTGCTCCTTGCGTCTTCCTGGGTTTCCCCCCTGACGCACCAGGGTGGCAGTTCTACCATCCCACCTCTCGTCGTGTTCTGTCCTCCCAGGACGTCACGTTCGACGAGTCGGTTCCCTTCTACCGGCTCTTCCCCTACCGCACTCCGTCCCTCCCCCCGCCGCCCCTCTTCCTGGTCCCAGGTCCCCCCCCGGTAGACCCCCTCCCCCCTCAGGGTCCTGCCCCTTCAGGTGTGTCTCAGGTAGACGCGGTCAAGCCTGTCGAGGTCACTGGTGACTCTGGTGCTGCTGCGGGTGCGGAGCCTGGGGGTGCTGAGCCTGGGGGTGCTGGGCCTGGGGGTGATGAGCCTTGGGGTGCTGAGCCTGGGGGTGCTGAGCCTGGGGGTGCTGAGCCTAGGGGTGCTGAGCCTGGGGGTGCTGAGCCTGGGGGTGCTGAGCCTGGGGGTGCTGAACCTGGGGGTGTTGAGCCTGGGGTTGCTGCGCCTAGGGGTACTGAGCCTGGGGGTGCTGAGCCTGGGAGTACTGCGTCTGGGGGTGCTTCGCTTGGGGGTGCTGAGCCTGCTGCTTCTGTTCTTGGTGGTTCTCCGGACCTTTCTTCGCGCCGCGAGCCGCTCTCTCCTCTGGAGCTGCGTGAGTGGTTTGCCCGGCGCTTGAGGCGAGCTGCTGGAGCTGGGGGTGCTGCGGGTGCTGGAGGTTCTGTTGCTGCCGAGGGAGCTGGTACCACGGGTCCCGGAGGTGCTCGTACTGAGAGTACTGGAGCTGCCGGGCCCGGGGGTGCCTCTGGAGCTGGAGCTGCTGCGCGTGCTGGCGCTGAGTCTTCGGCTCTCGTTCCTACTGTGGGTACTTCGGGCGCTGCTGGAGGTACTGGAGTTGGAACTGCTCCTGGTGCTGGAGCTGCCTCTGGAGGTGCTGGTGCTGTCCCTGCTGTGTCTGGCGGTGCTGCGCGGCCTCGGCCGTACTTCGTTCCGCTCCTTCAGCAGGTTCTTGGTCTCCCGCCTTCCATTGGTCCTTCTCCTCTCGTAGAGTGTCCACAGCCTGTCCCGTCGCAGTCACAGTTACAGCCCGCCTCCCCACTGCCTTCTCCTTCTCCCTACACTGGTCCTACTGGAGGTCTTGCGGAGCATCGTGAGCCTGCGTCCCGCCCTGCGTCACCAGACCGTGCTGCTCGCCCTAGTGGTCGCGGTTCACGTCAGCGTCCTCCTCTTGTCTCTGGCACGCACAAGATGTCTCTGCGTCCGTCCACTGCTCCTCTGCGTGCCTCTTTGCCTTCTCCTCCTCAGTCTTCTCTTCCTACACTTGCCGACCCGGAGTCGGACTCTCGCCGTGCTGCCAGTCCTACTGTCACGCGTCTTCTTGCTACTGTTGTCACTGACCCTTCCTTTGAGTCCGCAGCTGCGTCTGCCCTAGTTGCTGAGCTGGTCGACTTTGCTGCTGCGTGTCGTCTAGACTACGCTGCCAGTCTTGTTGCTGAGTCTGCTGAGTCTGCGTCTGCTGAGTTTGAGTCTGCCTGTCCTCCGTCCGTCGGGGGTGACTGTGCTCTTGGCACGGACGTCCTTGAGGACAGGCAGGAGGAGTTCCAGTGCTTTGCCGCCGCTCTGCCCCATCTCGTGTCCATGCTTGTTGCCCCTGAGGGAGACCCGGATGCTCTAGACATCTCGACCCCACGCTCTTACGCAGAGGCGATGGCCGGTCCCTACTCCTCTCAGTGGCAGGCAGCTATGGATGCAGAGATGGCTTCCTGGAAGTCCACAGGCACCTACGTCGACGAGGTTCCCCCACCTTGGGCGAACATCGTCAGTGGCATGTGGATTTTCAGGGTGAAGCGGCCGCCGGGTTCTCCGCCTGTCTTCTAGGCGCGCTACGTGACTCGTGGCTTCAGTCAGCGACAGGGAGTTGACTTCTTTCAGACCTTCTCCCCGACCCCGAAGATGACCACTCTTCGGGTTCTGCTGCACGTCGCTGCTCAGCGTGACTACGAGCTACACTCTCTTGACTTCAGCACTGCTTTCCTGCAGGGCCGCCTGCACGAGGGGATCTGGCTGCGCCGCCCTCCTGGCTCCACTGGGTCGTTCCCTCCTGGTACCAAGTGGAGCCTCCGGCGGCCAGTCTACGCTCTCCGCCAGGCGCCGCGTGAGTGGCACGACACACTGAGGACTACACTTGCGGCTCTTGGGTTTGCTCCTTCTACTGCTGACCCGTCGCTGTTTCTACGCACCGACACCTCGCTGCTGCCGTTCTACATCCTCGTGTACGTCGACGACTTGGTCTTTGCCACCGCGGACAGACCCTCACTCGCCCACGTGAAGTCCGAGCTGCAGAAGAGACACACGTGCACAGACCTGGGTGAACTGACAAGCTATCTTGGCTTGCGGATCACCCGGGACAGAGCACGCCGCACCATTACCCTGACTCAGTCACACATGGTGCAGCAGGTCCTTCAGCGCTTCGGCTTCACGTACTCCTCGCCTCAGTCCACTCCTCTGCCTACGGGACACTCGCTCTCAGCTCTGCCTTCGGATGAGTCCGTAGAGTCGAGTGGTCCGTATCCAGAGCTTGTGGGCTGCCTCATGTACCTGATGACCTGCACTCGACCTGACCTCGCATACCCTCTCAGCATCTTAGCACGCTATGTTGCTCCCGGCCGTCACCGGAAGGAGCACATGGATGCAGCTAAGAGGGTGTTGCGCTACTTGTGGAGTACGTCGGGCATGGGGCTAGTGCTTGGAGGGCGAGAGCGGCCTTCTTGGGCTGACGACCAGGCTACTGAGCGGTCGTCTCAGGGTTACACCTTCAGTCTTGGCTCTGGCTTTGTCTCTTGGCGCTCTACTCGCTCGTCTTCTGTTCTCAGCTTTAGCTGTGAGGCTGAGATCTACGCCACGGCCATGGCTGCCCAGGAGCTTCGCTGGCTCACCTACCTGCTGACTGACCTTGGAGAGCGGCCTCGTTCTCCTCCAGTGCTGTACGTCGACAACAAGGCAACCATTGCCTTGTGTGAGGAGCACAGACTGGAGCACAGGACGAAGCACATTGCTATGCGCTACTTCCTTGCTCGAGAGCTGCAGCAGCGTGGTCAGCTTCTTCTGCGTTTCGTGGCTACTGAGGCCAACACTGCTGATGTGTTCACCAAGGCACTTCCGCCTCGTGACCATCAGCGCTTTTGCACTTTGCTAGGCCTTGTGCCCACTGGGCCTCACTTGCTTACCTCTTGACCTTGCTTGTACTGCTGCATATATATATACTTGCTCTTGCTTGTTTAGCACTGTTATATATATGCTCTGCTGCATGTGAACTGGCCTTGTGGCCTTGAACTTGTGCTCGGAATTTGTGTGGTATCCTTGAGATCCACCCTGAGCTTGCTTTGCTTTGCTTGACTGGTTTTGTGACCCCTTGTTCTCCCCCACTTTGCCTATGGGGGTGTGTCAGATGATTATATTGCTGATGCATATATGTAGGCTGTAGTGGGGTAGCCCATAGGGGGTACAACCCAATTAGGGTTGGTACTTGTACTTCTTTCATTCCATAGTGCATCATTCCTCGCAACTATCTCAACATAGAGCCCTCGATAGTATGCGGGGGAGCACCTCGCCTATAGCCACCGGACGAACGTCACCATTCGGCTTTGACAGGCCCACATGGTTGGATGCAGTCAGCCAGGGTCGCACGCACTCCGCTACCTCTCCCTTGGTCCAATGGGTGAAGACCCCTAGCAGGTGAGGCAGGCATGCAGGCTCGGAGAGAAAAGTGTCGCGCAGGTGCTTCGTCACCCACCCTGATGGTCCTGGTGCAGACGCCCGAGCCGCTGAATGGACAGCCTGGCCGAGTACCTCCACTGAAAGCTCGGGGATGAGGGTCGGCTCGTCTGTCGCCTCCTGCAACCACTCCGGGATGGGGGTCTCACACGATGGGTGTTTGGCGTGTAGCGAGTCCACCACATGCTGGGAGGGCTGCGCCATGCTACCAGCTGTAAGACACGCCAAGCCCCTACTCCATTCTCCCACTTTGCATCTTGTGCGGCAGCGAGCCAGGCGCACTGCATCGGGGTCATGCTCGAAAGGGGTGAAGGACAATGGACGAGCCGTTGGATGCATCGCCGCCGCTGGATGCATCGCCGCCGCCGCCGACTCGAACAACTGTCGCCACTCCCCAGCCCAGAACTTCTCCAACCACTCCCTAATTGCGGCCTTGTGCCCCTGGCATTGCCCAGTTGGAATCCCCAAAATCAGACAAGGGAACGCCAGGAAGACCAAGGATGCCGCCTCATCTGCTACCCTCAATTGAAGCCGCTTGAGGACGCAAGAGAGTGCGTCAAGCACCCCCAATCTAGCGCGCTGTGGGATGCGGCGCATGAGTTTCCCTAGCACCAACTCAATCCCAAAGAACGACTCCCAGTCCCATGAAGGAACTGCAGCGCACACCTTCTCATTGATATCCCTTGGTGGCATAGGTTTGCCATCCGAGTCGTCAGTGACGTCGCGGGTTAACCCAAGAGCCTGAGCCCGGCGCTGTGCGTACGCTGCCTTGCAGACCGACATGTGGCGTGTAGCTTTTCCTCTGTCCATGAACGTGAAAAAATAGGTTTCGCACGGGATGCGAGGCGGGGGTGTCAGGGTATGGTCTGCGATCTCCCCTCCAAACGAACCCGCCAGCAACACCCCCCTGCTCTGTTGTCCTCTACTCAGCATCCGCTGCTGCACTCCACTCTCCCGCTGCTGCTCCCCTGCGCTCTGCAGCCGCTCTCGCCCTCTGCCCTGCGGCTCCTTCTGCCCTCCGCTCTGCATCTGCTGCTGCCCCCGGCTCTGCAACTCCCGCTGCCCTCCGCTTTGCGGCTCCTGCTGCCCTCCGATCTGCAGCTGCTGCTGCCCTCCGCTCTGCAGCTGCTCCTGCCCTCCGCTCTGCAACTGCTCCTGCCCTCCGCTCTGCAGCTGCTGCTGCCCCCCGCTCGGCAGCTGCTGATGCCCTCCGCTTTGCAGCCGCTGCTGCCCTTCGCTCTGCAGCTGCTGCTGCCCTCCGCTCTGCAGCTGCTCCTGCCCTCTGCTCTGCAGCTGCTGCTGCCCCCCGCCCGGCAGCTGCTGAGGCCCTTCGCTCTGCAGCTCCTGCTGCCCTCCGCTCGGCAGCTCTTCAATGCATGGCTCGTCCACCATCACCACATCCATCGTCCATAGTGGCTTCAGTTTCCTTTCCCTCTGAGGCTCCCCGGCCGTCTCTGACTCCTCCGCTGTCGCCATGGGGGTATCAAAATCCAAAAGTCGGATCCACTCCTCCAATTGCTGCTCCTGGTCATCCAACGACTGCCCTCCTGGCTGCTTTGCTCCCTGGGGTGCTCCGGTCGCCCCCGGCTGGCCTCCTGGCTGCTGTGGTCCCTGGGGAGCTCCGGTCACCCCCGGCTGCCCCCCTAGCTGCTGCACTCTCTGAGGTGCTCGGGTCACCCCCAGCTGCCCCCCTGGCTGCTGCTCTCTTTGCAGTGCTCCGGTCACCCTCGGCTGCCCTCCTGGCTGCCGTGCTCCTTGGGGTGATTCGGTCACCCCCGGATGCCCCCCTGGCTGCTGCTCTCCCTGAGCTGCTCCGGTCGCCCCGGGCTGCCCCCCAGCCCTCTGCCCTCCCTGTCGTCGCCCCCTTCTACGCCGTGCTCGTGGCCTTTCCGCTTGGCCTGTGCCGCCCGGGCTAGTGACCCCATGCTGATCCTGCGCCTGCAACTCCTGCGACTCACTCATCGGCAACCCCTGTTGTACGCTTCCAGGCACGGGCTGGTTCCCCTCATGACACCCTTGCCGCTGCCCTGCATGCGACTGGGGTTGATTCCCTGTTTGACTCCCCTCCTGCTGGCCTACCCACAGCTCCTCTCGCGCCTCCTCTTGTGGCTCCTCCATCTCCACCTCCAACTCCCGCAGCTCCTGCTGTCCCCCTGCCTGCAGCTCCTGCTGTCTCCTCGTCTGCAGCTCCTGCTGTCCCCCCGCCTGCAGCTCCTGCTGTCCCCCAGCCTGCAGCTCCTGCTGCCCCCTAGCCTGCAACTTCTGCTGCTCCCCGGCCCCCTGCTCCACCTCCATCTCCGCCTTCAACGCCTGTTGCCCTCCGGCCAGCTCCTGCTGCCCCCCTTGTCGCGCTATTAACGCTTAGCCAGAAGCTAAGTGTGAATAGCACAGCAGCTAAGGTAATGCTGTATACATTCTGTTTTTGTATTCTAATTTCGTTTGTGTTCTTGGAGTGTATTGTACTGTATTACAGAGCCGAGTAGCTGGGGAATTCGAGGTGGATGGTGGGAGGCGAATTCAAGGTGGTTGGTGGGAGGCGAATTCAATTCCAGCCTGGGAATTAATTTTCGAATTCACCAGGCTGGAAGGCGGTGCATGCCTAGTGGGTCCAGGGGGACCCAGCTAGCACCATGGAACCCTCGCGAGCAGCCCGGCTGACTCGCTTGGTGCACAGGAGCTTGCTTGTGGAGGAAGCAACCTAGGCAGGCGGGGGAAGTAGATGTAGGCAAGAGTAGCACTCGAGCTCTTTGCTTTTTGCTTGTATGTTTCTCTTAATACTGCGATTCATTTCCCAACCAAGGAAGCAAGCAGCTAGGAGAAGCTGAAGCAATCTGACGGAGCCTTTGCGAGAGAGTTTAAGTCTTGTTTCAGGGTAGCCTGAGACAAGGGCAGCAGGGAACTAAGAAGCCAGAAAACAGTAAGCAGTAAAATGAGGAGTGAAAAGAGAGGGGAAGGTGTTACAAGGCAAGGAGCGGGCCAGCGGGGAAGTAATTCACGACAGGAGGAATAACGGGAGAGAGGGGGGTGGAGGAATAACGGGAGAGAGGGGGGTGGAGGGAGAGCAGCCACACAGGCTGGTGAGTGCAGTGAGGTTGCCAATGGAGGAGGGAATGGTGCCACTCATGCTATTGCAACACGCATGCCTGCCATGTGGCGCGATGGGAGTGCATGCACAGCAAGGCATGGGATGACATTGGAAAACATGAGATAAAATACAAATCGAGGAAGAGACACAACATGTGTGGCATCTGTCGACAGTGGGGTGGATGTGGTGCGTCCAATCCAAAGCACCACAAAAGAAGCAGTACTGGAGTCAAACGAGCCACGTCACGTCAAGAAAGAAGCTCCACGCGCAACAAAGAGGCACGAGCAACACGAGCAACACGAGCACCACGAGCAACATGAGCAACACGAGCAACATGAGCAACATGAGCAACATGAACTGCCTACGCAGAAGAGCCATTGAAACGGTACAAGAGACTTTTAGGAAAGGACTGCAGGCACGGCTCCTCCTTAAGACACACGGCTTGCAATGCTTCCCCCGTGCTATTGCTTGTCCTGGTAAGGCGAGATGAGGCATGCGGCAGCATGACTTGCAGGTTTTGAGACGTCTCAAAAGATGAGGAGGCATGAGGCAGCATGACTTGCATGGCTCAGAATGTAGATTTAGAGCGGCTTGATCCAAACCAGACCATGCCCACACGCAACGGAGTGAATGAATGACCGCGTTAACGTCAGTTGGTTACATTAGAGTGAATCAGACATGTCTACAACGGAGTGAATAGAGGGACAGGAGGAGCACCACCTACACCTTCACCCAACATGCATCCCTCTTCCTTACAGATCTTGTAGGTTGGTGAGCGCTCCTATGAACTCGGGGATGGACCCTGACAGCTTTCCCTCCCCAAGGTCTCTGCGATCATGTGTGGCACAGAGAGGGGCGGTGGAGGCTGGGTGTGGGAAAGATGATAACACATGGCCTCACATGCATGTGTATGCAGTGCATGTGTGTGCAGTGCATGTGTGTGCAGTGCATGTGTGTGCAGTGCATGTGTGTGTAGAGCATGTGTCTTCTGTGCATATCTCTACGTAAACACTCACAACTCCCTTAGCTCCTTGAGGCTGCTGATTGCCTCTAGATGAGCCTGCATGGTTGTTGTGCGCAATATTCCTGATGCATGGAGCGGTTTGGATGGAAACATGGAGAAAGGAAGGGCAAAGAGGGGAGGGGTCATTGGAGAGGGAAGGCCGGAAGGGAAGGTACAGGTTGGTGAGCGCTCCTATTGTCTCGGGGATGGATCCTAATAGCATTTGCTCCCAAAGGCGTCTGAATCAATCGCGGCATAGTGCGGTGAAGTGTGGCGCAGAGAGGAGCGGTGGGGGAAGGGTGCGGAAAAGTTGATAACTAATGGTCATCACAGGTGGACTTGCATCCATTGGCAGTGCTTGACTATGCATCACCACTCACAAGTCGTGCAGCTTCTTGAGGCTGCTGATTGCCTCTGGAATGGAGCCTGAAAAGTAGTTGTCGCTGATCTTTCTGGTGCATGGAGAGGGTTGGGCGGAAACAGGGAAGAGGAAACAAGTCCTTTAGCGAACTAGAATGGCGTAATGGATTATGAAAAGTGCAATGAAAGACGTTGGGATACGAAAAAGGTGACAAGGGCACTCATAATGTGGAGAAAGATGTTCGATCAAGCATGGTACATGGCATAGTATTTGGTGCATGGCATTTGGTGCATGGCATTTGGTGCATGGCAGTTGGTAAATGGCAAGGGGAACGCTGCATGGCAGATGGTGCATGGCAGCACGCACAGTGAAGTCAAGTCTGTGAGGCTAAAAATCCACGCTGGCAGCTCCCCAGACAATCCATGATTCGACAAGAAGTGCCTGATGATGAAAACAGTTGAGAGAGGGAGCAGTTGAGAGGCAAGGAGCAGTCAAGAGAGAAGGAGCAGTCATGAGATCACATACCACCATCACATGCCATCACATGCCATCACATGCCATCGCATGCCATCCCTTACCATCCCATGCCATCCCATGCCATCACATGCCATCACATGCCACCATCACATGCCATCACATGCCATCACATGCCATCGCATGACATCCTTTACCATCCCATGCCATCACATGCCATCACATGCCATCACATGCCCCTCACCCGGCCTTACAGAGACTGCAGCTTCTGCAGCTGGGAGAGCTGCTTTGGTAGTGACTCGAGTTCATGGTTGCTCGACAAATGGTTGCATGCACCACGCATGCACCATGCATGCACCACGTATGCACCATTCATGCACCACGCATGGACCATGCATGCACCATGCATGCACCATGCATGCACCATGAATACACCATGCATGTGTAGGGCTTAGCAACATTAGAGGGTCCTCTAAGGAAGAGAAGTCGGTTGACCAGAGGCTGTTGACGAGAGGCTGAAGGAGAGAAACGAGTGGCAGGAGATGGACTGGAGTGGGGAGCAGCAGGCAGTACATTACATGTGGGAGCACAGAGCTCATGGCGATGGGGTGTGGGGGGACAAATGGACAGACATGGAGTCGACTCAGAGTCCATGTGGAGGAACAAACTCTGTCCTTGATGGAGTCGGCTGTTGAGTGTGCACTAACCCTGCAGACTGGGTCGTCGCTTTCTACGGGGGAGGGAAGAAATCCGCCGAAGCGAATTCTGCTGGGGTCAACGCGGAACTCTGCGCTGCAGCAGAAAGAAACCTGCAGAAGCAGAAAGCAGGTTCCGCTACAGAACAGGGCGAATCTGCAGAGCAGATTTCGTCTCTGCAGAGGAGGGCGCATCTGCAAAAGCGGATTTCTGCAGAGGAGCGAAGTCTTCTACCAGCGAACCCCTCCGACGCAAAAGTGCGATAGTTTCGTAACTTTTGCGGAGGAATTTCGGAATTTCGCCACATTGAGAAATTGACCCCCGGAAACAGTGCGTGAACTTGGGGTGTTCAATCTGGGGCCGAATTGAACCACCTGAGCAAACTGAACCTTGCGCACGTTTTCGTAACTACGAAAACGTGCGTTACAAATGTTGTTTAAAACAACCTGAACAGTTAAAATAACTACTTTTAGGTAGGTAAAAATTACCAACTAAGCATGTGTTGTAATTTTCACCTGCCGATGCTGACTTGGCAAAGCACAGCTAAGTAGTAGTTATCTAAACGTTCTAGGTGAGAACGTTCTCTTGGTAGGTTCAGTGGTTTGGCAGTTCTTTACCCCTTGTATTCTATCTTTTATACTATTCTAGTGAATTTTTCTGTGTGTGCCAAATCTATGCCTTCAAGGACTTAGACAAATTTCTGTCTCCTTAGTGAACCACCAATATCGTGTCTACGCAGAAAGCATTCCGTAGAGCTCGTTCATCCGTTAGAGCAGAAATCTCTGCATGGTGCGGTGAGCGTGGAACGAACACGCATAGAGCCCGTTCTTCTACGTTAGGTCTCATTGAACTAAGCTTGTCGACATGGAGGATGCTGAGGATATCTCTGAGGGAATCGACAGTCTAAGTGAGCGGGAGGCTGCGGTGCATGCTCGTCATGAAGGTGGCAACCTCACCGAGCAGGAGCTCAACTTCATGCTGTTGGGAGTACGAGCTCAATGGGAGATGGAACATCCACCGACTCGTGCAGAGGGAGACGAGGAATCGCAGACTTCTGGAGACGACGAGAACGCTGAAGAACCGGAAGAAGGCGGAATGCAGGAGCCACGAGGAGTTCTAGGACAAGGAGAACCGATGAGCCCTGGAGAAGGCTCGCAGCAGAAGGCGGATGCAAGTCCGAAGAAGGCGGCTGGCAAAGGACGCTTGAGCGGTCGAGGATCTGCAGTGAAGACTGGTGGAAGCTCGGCAGTTTCTCATCAATCGGCATCGAAAGACGGCGGAATTGCTCCTGATTACGGATACTTCAAATTTTCTCCCGACAAGATCACGGTGCCGAAGCCACTGGAAGGACGTCATGACTTATCCGTGTGGAGGGAGTCCATTGAGCCTCAACTTGAAATCGCGCAGCTGAAGCAGTTCATCGACGGCTCAATCAAGGTTCCACGGCTGAGCGACATTTCGCAGTATACACAATTTCGCTCTGCACAACTTCTGACCTTTATGGTGATATCGCGCTGCTGCTCTCCATCCGTGAAGATCGCCTTGGAGTCATGTCGTTTTCGAGTGGACGCGGGCTACCAGGCGTGGCGCTTCATCATGGAGACCTACAAAGCAACGGACTATCTCTATATCGGCCAGCTGGAGAGGAGCTTGGCGACGCTAGAGATGGCGGAGCATGAGACGGCGACGACCTACTGCAATCGTGCGCAGATGATTCTCGCTAATCTGCGAATGGCTGGCGTGAACTATTCGATGGCCTCGTATGTGACTCATGTCCTCACAGGTCTTCCCGCGGAGTACAAGTACCTTCGACGAACGCTTCAATCTCCGGAAACTGCAAGGCTCTCGACGAAAACACTTTGACGAGCAGAATTATCGCAGAGGAGTGCACGCTCGAGCTCGAAAAGCGGAAGGAATCACCTCTGCCACAGGTGAACTGGGCCTCGACGGGACAGCAGCAGCAGAAGCATTGGTCTTCTTCGACAACTAGCGGTTCTACAGAGCAGAATTCGTCAAATAAGGAGCAGCAGAAGAAAGATGGTCGACAGTAGAACAACAAACGAAGCTCGAAGAAACCTTGCTGGGTCTGCGGAGAAGTCAGTCACTTTGCGTTCCAGTGCGAACAACGTGCCGACAAGAAGAAAAATGCTTCTGCGCAGAAGGAGATTTCTTCGAAGACGGGAGCGCAGAGCGACAACTCCAATTCGACCAACAAAAAGGGACCTTCTTGTTCAATGGTGGGACCAGTTGTGGACCAGCTGCAGACAACTGATCTGCTCATTTCGCTGAATGCGGAAGATGGTGAGGATTTTCAGGCGATTGCTGCAGCCCTCGAGGCCGATCCTGCAGTTGTTCTTCTCGACAGTGGCTGCTCACATCATCTGATGGGCGACGATGCAACCTTTGTCGAAATGCATGAAGGCGGCGACATTAAACATGTTCGCGGATTCAACGGGGCATTCCAAGACGTGTGTGGTCGCGGAACAATCGCTCTACGCGGTGAAGCTGGGAAGCAGATTCTGATTCCTGATGTGCTCTACGTGCCTGGAATCCATGCGAATCTGTTGTCTGCTGGGCAGCTGAAGGATTGTGGAGTAAAGCTGAAGGATGAAGGTGAAGAGACCCTCCTCTCTACTGATGGGACAGTCCTTGGACGCGCTCGTTATCGAGGACGAGTGCTCAGCACAGATTTCCAGGTGTGGCCGCTGCAGAAATCGGCAGAGGAGGCGATTGCTCTGCGGACCTTGGCGACTGATACACGGGCGAAGATGGTCGTATGGCATCCTCGACTTGCTCATACGGGCGTCGAAACAATCAAGCAGACGGCGACGCATGGTGCAGCGACACGCTTGGATATTGACAAGTCGGCCAACCCTGATCTACCGTGTGTTTCTTGTGTGGGGGGAAAGCTTATTCGGCATAGTTTCCCTCAAGAGGGGAGTGAAGAGCAGAAGGTGCTGGGAGTAGTGCACATCGATCTCTGCGGGCCCTTCCGAGTTCGTGCAAAAGATGGCAGCCGCTACTTTCTTCT